CAAGGCCAGAATCAAGGTCCTCCATGAACCGTGGAAGCCCACAAGGCCCACACCACCAGCAGTCCTTGCAGGACCCCACAGGAGGCTGCCCAGAGGCATCAAACCCAACTTCACACCAAAACCATGCTTGGAATATACTGTATTTCAAGTCCTCAACACAAGTGCTGTACAAGGTGCTGAGAGCAGTCTGAGGGGTATTTTGTCCTCATGCTTTCTCCAATCTCATGTGCAATTATTTGGGAAGGTCCCAATGTGCCTTTGTTATAGTTCAGCATTTGGACTGTGAGAACTATATTGCTACACCAGCAAAGAATTAAGCTTTTTCTCACCCATAATAGAAGTCACCCAATAAACTCTTTGGCACATGATTTTTAGGTTTGGGTTTTTTTAATTTATATATATATATATATATATACATATATAAAAAGATAGCCTTGTTAGACTGCCTGACCATGTCACAACACTCAATACATTACAGATACAACAGGATTAAAGTTTACATTTTGGAAGATATCACACTGCATACTTTTTAAGGACTGTTGACTACTTAAAAATATTTGTGATTACGCTTTCTTCCCTTGTTCCTCAGCAATGTAGCAGGCTACCTAAACTGGTTATAAAGAAAATTTAAAAAAAAATATTATAAGAATGGCAGAACTTACTTTGCAGAGAAGTGTATTCACTCTCGATAGAAATAATTGCAGTCTTAGGGAACTCTAAGAGAAAACATTTTGACTTTTAACTCACTGGTTTATCTTAAGAACACATCTATCTCCCATGTCATCTTCACATGCTATAAAACAGGGATGGGCACCACAGTCAAATAACTTTGCAATTGAAAAAGCACTTCCAAGGTTGTTTCTCCTGGTGGAAGCACTTGAGCCTTTGCTACAGCAGCTGCTTGTGGAACACGAGTCAGGGAACTGATGCAGGGGAAGAATGATCTTTTTTCTGAACTGATACAAGCTATGAGTTGTATAAAAAAAAATTCATGTATTCTTAACTGGGATCCATTTCCCAGTCTGGTTTGCTGAACAGACCCACAAACCCCAGCATGGCCCAGCTGGGGAACCAGAAGAGGCTGCTTACCTACACCAAAGCATAAAGGAGATGAGAGGACAAAATTACAGTTCGAGTTTAGAATGACACTGAGAAAGTTTCACCTATTGCACATCTCCACCAGCCATCTCTGGAAGGGCAATAAACTGTTTACAAGACCTGTGGCGTCGCAGCAGATTTATCATGTAGACATAAAGAGAGGAGTCACCCTGTTTCCGTGACAAAGTACCGTAAGTATATAGGGATATACTGCTCTGAAAAAGATCTGTATAGCTTGACTGCTGCAACAAGTTCCCAGCATAGCTGCTTTTCCTGGAGCACTGCCATCATATTTTCTTATCACTAACTGAAGTAACTAACCAGCTAACTCCCAGTGATGTGCTTTGCCTTCTAGATCCTATATAAAGGTCATTTGCAAGGGGGAAAGGCAGGCATAATAAATAAATAAATAAAAAGAAGCCATTGTGCCACATCCATGGCTTTGTTTCCAAAAGTCACTAAGAAGTGCAAAGCCAGGCTGAAGTGTTTGACTATTCAATAAGTACAAGGAGTGGCCAATTCTCTCCCCACAGCGAGACTGTTGACAGCTGTTTTAGAGGAGAAAAAAAGTGAAGCATGACTAAGCTATTCATAAAACTCACATTATATCTAACACCCTAACAACAAGTTTTGGTTTAGAAAAAGTGCAGTGCTTCCTGGCCGTGAATGTCCAGGTGGTACATGACAGCCCTGAATCAGGCTTCCAACTGGATTATATCCCCCATGGCAAACCCCACAGCAGCAAAGCAGAACTCTGTCCACACCCAGAGATATCAGCTGCCTCACAACGTCATTCATTACCTTTATCTGTTCTACAGGTGATCAATGCAAGCAAGCACATGAGCACTTGGCACCAAGCAGCACCCAGTAATCACAAGCTGCAGACTGCAAGGTGCTTTCCACCCCAGTTTTCCACATCCAGCCTCTCATGTGCCTGCAAATAGGAGTTATCCTCCAGCTGGAAACCACACCAACTGCCAATGCCTGTCCAGGAGATCGGTAAAACATGGGCCCACAACCACTCAGAGAGGGCACATCATGCCTTTATGGCTTCCTGGACTATCTAGCCTTTTGTTCAAGTTTTTTATTTCTTACCACTACCTTCCACCAGCAGAGCAAAGCCAAAACCAAACAGTTCCTCCATACTAATCAGCTGTGTAGTTTAGCTGACTTCAGGCTATTTATTGCCTGTGTGGGGAACCCCTATAGAAATAGCATTTAATAGCACTCAAGCAGATTGCAGAGATAACCAGCTACAGTAATAAGCAGAAAAGCTTCCAAGCTGCTTCAAGGTCAGTTTTACTGGCGAGTGGATGGCCACCAAATACCAGGCAGTGAAAACTGATACACTGTCCTGGAAAGGATGTGAAAAAGAGATAGGTACAGCAGGCCCAGCAGCTTCTACTAATGATTTTTTGTTAAGTAGCTATTTATTAAAACTTATTATGCCAATAGAAAATTATATGAAAGCACCCACTGCCTTTATAACACATGAGCCTGTGCATACTACCAACAAATCTACCAAAGTTTTTTTCCTCTAGTCTAATTTATTGACCACTGTCTTAATTCATGCTTTGGATGGAATAACCAGATTCTTTTAACAGTAGTTAATCCTCCTCTTAGCACAGGAGCGTACCCTAGACCAGAACATGGCTTACTCACGAGTATATCCTGCTGAGAGATTAGTAGCAAGCTCTGCATATGCCTGAGTCTCAAAGCTTCCCTACACAGACTGTGTTTTAAAAACATCCATCATCGGACAGTACCTGGCAGAACTCTATTCCTATGAGAAGCTTTGACTTCTTAACTATGTTTTCCTCCTTTGATGCAGCAAAGCTGTAAATCACGAACATCGAACATCGAGCTCCTGCCTTTCTCTCTGGCTGCAGTCCCTGGCTGGACTCTGTTACTTCAAACACGTTGTGTCCTCACCTCTCGGGCTATGCCGGCCATCCTGTGGCCACCAGAGCCAGGCAAGAGATGAAGGCTGGAACGCCGTCAAGAAACGCGGCTCATCCACACTACCCGCAGGAGACTCATCATTCAGGTTACCTACAAAACCTGTCTGCCTGGCAGAACTCAACATCCGTGCCCTTCTAGCAACAGCCCCAGGCCAGCCTGTCTGCCCAGCACCGGGCAGCGCTGGAAGGACAGACAGGCGACGTACAGGCTCAACCCATGAACGCGGAAGACAGGTACGCACTTGAACTCATGCCAAGGGAAAACACATGCCCAGGTGATCCTCACCTTGCCTAATGCACTCTTACCCTGCTATCAGGCTTGGGGGAAGAAAAAAAAAAAAAAAAGCAAACAAACCCAACTTAAAGTGCCCAAACAAGAAACTGTCACCATAGAAGTGTCCCAAAGCATAGCAAGCGCCTTCTGAGTGGATGCTCCTCTAGTGCAGACAGCAGTTTCTATCCACAGGCACAGATGTTATGAGGTTAATGTCAATCTGCTCCCACTACTAAGGTATCTATGTATAAAAATACACCTCCTCTAACACTGTAATAAATGAATCACTAGTACCTTAACTTTCAGGAACTACGTGGAACTTGGTTCGCCCTTTTCCACAATAGCTCGGCAAGGGCGTGCAAAACATGAAAAACACACTCGGCAAGGGACTGAGGAGAGTCATCACAAACTGAAATAACGTAGCTTGGCCCTTTAAAACTGATTAGATTACATTAGCCAAAACTCCCAGTACACAAGACATCCATGGATCTCAGACCAACTGTCTAAACTCAGCTCTGAAGCTACATGCTTTACATATTTCTACTGCATCGCATATCTCCATGAGTACCTAAAGTTTTACGGCCGACGAAGATTACAGAGAGCTACAGCAGTACAGGATTTCTAATCCCTTTATCAAGTCCCCGTCTGGTCATTCACAACAGAATCGGTACAGCACACTCTTCCATGAAAAAAAACTTGTATAAATGACTTTTTTTCCACTTTTGAGCTCCAGCTAACGTGAAGCCCTGTAAAGGACACTGGAGCAGAACCAATTCCAGAGGTCAGCAAAATCGAACTCTCCAAATCCCAACTCCTCTATATGACTTGCAGGGACAACACAGTCATAGAAGGTAGATTAATAAACCCCAACAGTTCACAGGTTAAGAAGAACTACCCTTTCCCAGTTCTCATCCAGAAACTCATGCATTTGCTCCAGAAGAAATGTCCGCACTTGAGAAGAAAAAAAAATATTTTCAGGCAATAGAGTGAACGCATGGAACAGGCCCTACGGCAGTGACCCTCTGACCGACTTCAAAGGCCACTCAGCCCCAAAGGTGACACGCACCAACACCGGCGTGTTGCAGGGGGGCTCTTGATACGAATCCCCGACGACTTTCTGTGAAATAAACTGAGATACAAAGTTGCGTCTGCGAGGCTGGAGGGGGTTCCAGATCGGGGTATGAGTAATTCCAATGGGGAGGGGGCCAGGCGGGTGCGTGTGCCGGAGCACACACCCGGGGCACACACCGGGGTTCGTCCCGACCCGTCCCCGCGGCAGCGGGGCCGCCACCCCCGCCCGGCTGCGGGGGGACCGCGCCCGGCCCCGGCCCCGCAGACAATAGCGGCGGGGAGCAGCCGAGCGAGAAAACACACCAAATAGATGGAAAACTAATACGAGACGCAAAATGAAAGGGAATAAAGCCACGCGGAGACAAGGGGCCGCCCGGAGCGGCTCCACGCGAAGTTGCGGCGGAGAAAACCCCCCGAGGAAGAGGAGGAGGAGGAAGGGCGGGGGAAGCGTGCGAGGGCGCGGGAAGGGGAGGGGGGGCTCCCGCACACCCCCGTCCCCGGGGAGCGCCCACCCCCTCCGCCCCCCCACCCCCAATCCGGGGGCCTCCCCAAACTTTCCCCCACCCCTTCGCCCAACTCCAGCGGGGCAAACTCACCGCGGGGCCCGGCGGGCGGCTTCGCCCCTGGCAGCGGGGCCGGGTGGGAAGGGAGAGGGACGGGGACGGGGACGGGGAGGGGGCGGAGAAGGCGGCCGGGCCGGTGCCGCCCGGGGAGGCGGGCAGGAAGGAGGGGAGGAGGGCCGGGGGCTGCCGCCCTCGCAACCTGAGCCGGCGCCGCGCCCGCCCCGCGCCCGCCCCGCGCCCGCCCCGTTCCAGCCCCGCTCCAGCCCCGCGCCCGCCCCGCATGCGCCGCCCGAGCGGGGCCGTGCGGGGCCGTGCGGGGCAGGGGGAGCTGCGGGCGGAGCGGGCACGGCCGGCTCTTGCTCGGGGATGAGCTCCAGCTGCGCCTGCCCTGCCTCCCCAGGAGGGCTGGGGAACCCCCGGGGCTTCCCCCCTCGGGGCTTCGCCCTCCAGCGCGCCCCTTTCCCGGTTACTCGGCCGTTGTGAGCGATGGAGCTGTTGGGTGTAACGTTGTGCTGCGGGTGTGAAAGGACTTGGGCAGCTTAGGCTGCGGGTTTGTTTTTATCTGAGGGGGATCTGAGGGTTGCTCCATGCCTGGAAAAGGGCAAGGCCAGGTTAGATGGGGCTCTGAGCAGCCCGGTCTAGTGGAAGGTGTCCCTGCCCATGGCAGGAGTGTTGGAACTGGATGATCTCTAAGGTCCCTTCCAACTCAAACCAGTCTGTGATTCTATGATCCTGCTTTCCCACATGCTGAGTTCCAGGGGTAAGGGCCTGTCCTGGTTGGGGATGGGTTCCTGGCATCCCTTTCTTCAGCAGTTAAACCCCCTCCTAGTGTCCAGAGCCCAGGCTGTCCAACTGTGAACGGGATCTGCTGCATGTCTGTACCTGTCACAAACCCAGCAGCTCCTCTTGAGCCTCACCAACCCAGCCCACCGACTCATCCCGTTCCTCACCCTCTTTCCCAGTTCCCCTATGGTTGTGTGCAGCACGTACGTTTGATGGAGAAACATCTCCTATACCGTTCCCACGCCTTGCCCCGGAAAAACAGTGGAAATGGCAACCCACCATTAGCAAATGAGCTCATGTGGTCTGTGGTCCGCCTGTGGCTGGGCTGGAGGAGGCCCCGCGGAATGAAATTGAATGATCTGTTGTGGCGGTCACTTTCCTTCAGTTTCAGTTTGCGTTGGAAGCTCTTTGGGAATGTGTGCATGTGGTGGCCCAACATTTCCACTTGGCTTCACCTACTGCACACACGTGTATCCCGCTAGCCCTGGCAGTGGCCACATGATCATATCCACAAAGGCAGTGCCAGCGCTGAGTTTAACGTGCGTGTCCTGCCCCACCACAGCTGGGCAGCCTCACCTCATGACAACCACCCCAAAAGTACTTCACACAATACTTTCCAAAGAGACCTTGCTGCTGGCCAGAGGCTGCAGGTAATTCCCGTACACCATATTCTCTCTAGGTAGAACAGAAATAATAACACAGTTTACAGTGCAGAAAATTATCTGCTGAAAACCCTGTGTGTGAACTTGGCATTAGCTTCCTAAATATGCACTGTTGATTCAGTTTAAAGCAACTGAAATAATAAAAATGGTTTCAACACTTGTGCACTGTGGTCATTTTGGAGACTGGAATGTGCCAGCACTTTACAACCAGATGTAAAGCAGTAGTTTTTCTTGCATGGCTCCAACAGGATAAGGCATATGAGAGCAGGGACCCTGGAAAAACATTTTCATTTGCCTTCCTGTCACCTCTACAAAAGGGGCTTATGAGGCAGATCACTTGGAAGTTCCCAGAACCAAGAAGAGGGGTCAGGCACAGCAATGGCTCAGCTAAGAGCACCATCTAGTGAAAAGCCACTTCTTGATGAAACTCAATCCCCTACAAAGCGCCAACCAAACAATGACTAACTCAGCCCAGCCCAGCCCAGCCCAACCTACCTCATCCCATCTGAAGCAATCGTGAGCAAGGTAGTGTGGTAACAGGTAACAGCTGTCTAAAATTTTCCATAACACACACACACCAAGATCTTTAGCTCTACCTTCTTGGTTGTCCATCAATGGAACATTTCCTTGCTTGTCAACTCCAGCCTGGCAAGTCAACCTCTGTCTTCTGCTGCCATGCCTGGAGCTGACACAGCCCCAGTCTTGCTGTAGGTGCCCCCCTCAATCACATTGTGGGGGTCAGAAGCCCCAAAGACAGGGCTCAACCTCCCAGATGAGTCTGTATCAGCTGTGTACATGCCCTCGGATACGGTGTCATATGTGCTGCTCTTGCAAATAGTTTGGAAATGCTTTTGGGGAGTCTTTTCAGCAGAAGGGTGTGAAGGTCATGTGCCAGCATGGCTTCCCAGGAGCATTTACCATAGTGATAATATTCTAAACCAAGAGGGAAGGAAATTAGCATGGAAAATACTGAGAAAAGACAATGTAGAAGCTTAGCACCAAAGCAGGAGAATCAGCTGATGGGCCCCATTTATCAGAAGTGTTATGATCCTTTCAGACAAAGAAGGTAAATCAAAATACAGGCAGAGAAGGTTTAATTTTTTTGTGTCAGAAATATTCCCTGCCAGAGTGGGCTTCTCCAGCTGCCTACATATCCCCAGAGTGCCAGGAGCTGGTGGCGACTTAGGAAGGGAATTAGCAAAGGGAGACAGGGTTGTAGGGTGGGTAGGCAGCTCCCCAGACTGCCAGGGGTCAAACAAAGGCTCAGTTTAGATTTGAACCCAGGTCCCTCTTGCCTGTGGGAGGGCTCCTGGTGCCCCAAGACCAGAGGCCACCAAGTATCTGCCATGAAAAGGCTGTATCAGCCACTTGAGATGCCCAGCCCCTGCTCTCAGTAGCACTTAACACATCTTTTTACCTCTCTTTTCCCCAAGATTAGTCTGCACTATACTTTAATCTTTAAATTATTATCCACCCCCAAATTCTCTATGTCAAAATATCCTGTCTGCACCCACATATCACCACAAACCAAAACAAGGAGACAGTAGAAGGAAAATTTGTACAGCACTCTGTGGATGCCAACCTCCTGAGAAATCATTTGCCTTCAGATCATCTCTGACACTAGTTCCCCAGGGTTCCACCCTCTGCCATACACCCAAATCTGCTTTTCAAACACTATAAAAAATAATAAAATATATCAGATGTTCTTTTATTGCCTCTTTCAGGTTTTAATTTGTCACAAACTTCGCTGCAGGGCTCCCTGATTCTTGTTAGGGAAACTGGATTTAAGTGCGAGTTACACTCGTGAATGAGACTGGAATTTGGTCCTGCACAACATAATCTGAACATTTGTGTGTAGTGGCATGAATTAGCAATATGAGCGCATTGTTCCCAGTTGCTGGAAATGAGCTGTCCTTGCAATTGAATAGAAAACATAGTGCAATGCAATGATGGAAGCAGCAATTATTAAAGATTTGTTTTCATCATATTCAAGCAGCTACAAAACTGAGACACTGAGCATTAGTGTGCCTGACAACAGTGTGTGGTGTTTTCTTTCTCTCCTTGCTTGTTGGAAGCCAGTGCCTGGTAGCTGAGATAACAGCAGCTACACCTGAGGAGATTTTAATGTCATTTTCCTTCTTCAAACTCTACCAATGTCATCTCTGAAGTCCTGTGAGCGGTACAACCTTTACTGCAAAATTATGTACTGTGGCTGAAAGCAGCCTTCAGGAGAAGTTAAACCATTCCTATGTACTATATATATATCACAGTTAAAATGTAAAAGTTGTTAGTGTGTCACAATCATCAGACATTGGAGTTCGCCCTTGGAAAAGGAGATAGCCTGGAATGGTGAACTGCAGCAAAACCCACCCAAAACACAAACATTTAATGACCTAAAAAATTATATTAATGAATTCAAAGAAAGTTCCCTGGGTTCTTCTACCCCTCTGTGGAAAGTTTGTGGGGCTTTAGTGAGAGAAGAAGGGGTGCAGGCTTGCATCTAGCTGTCACCCACCGTGTACCCCAGCCACTCATCACAGCTCTTTAGGATGATTTCTCAATTCTGGGAGGCAATGCTTATCAGCTGCTCATGCAGATGTCATTTTAGTTGCTCAATTGATGGGGCACATCTAGCACGTCCACCTCTGCAACTCACAGGGCCCCTCCATGTGCTGATAAGCTGTGCTAACACCAAGCTCTCAAAACTCCCCCTTACACATATCACTGGATAAATACTGATATAAATACCGGTTTTAATTCTGGACAAAAATTTCCTGTTACTAATGTTCGAAACTTCTGAGGTAAGGGAAAACAGGTAAGGGAACTTCTCTGCTGAGAGCCTCAGCAGAACTACACCCACATGAATTTCTGACAGGCACAAATCATCGTATTTCACTTCATATTTGCTATAAATATTCTCCAGACCAAAGAAATCGTCTAGTGAAGCCCATGTGGTACCTGCACCTGCTGCCCTGCTGGGTCTGTATCTGCAGATTCCAAGCAGTTCACACAGAAACAAGAAATAAAAGCAATGAAAGAATGAGACGAGCTCCACAATTGCCTTTGCCATCCCACGGGGATAAGGCGTGTGCAGGTGTCTTGCACATGGGGTGACATTTCATCCCCTCCTGCCTGGGCTAAGAAATAATATCCAGATTGGCTGGGACTTTGAGCAGCCTGGTCTAGTGGAAGGTGTCCCTGCCCATGGCAGGGGGTTTGAACTAGATTATCTTTAAGGTCACTGTGGTGGTTTGAGCCACTTCCAACATAAACCATTCTATTATTCCACAGCCTCTTACTGCCTCTGCCAGACCTTTGAAGATCTGACAGTGTTGGCTTGCCCCAGCAGGGGCTTGAACTGTACCTGTGGCCTCCCCCTCTGTTCAGCCCTGTAGGACAGGTGCTAGGGAGAGCAGAAAGGGAGGGCTGAAAGGGGACTTGCAGGCTGCAAACACTATCATTAATCCTCCTGGGACAGTTTTCTCTTCCACTTCAGCTTTATACTTCATGCTTTGTCAAAGGACACTGTTTGCAATCATCTGCTGTAGCCATCCTGTTCTTTTCAATAATCTTTTTAATTTAATACGATTCTATTTCTGTCTTCAGCAAGGGTTGTTGTCCAGGTACGTGCAAAGCAAAGGATAGGCAAATCTATGCCAAAAGGCTTTACTGAAGTATCAGAAAACATCCATCAAA